TCATTTCAACGTTTCTTAGAACAAAACCAAAAAAAAAATGAAATTAGTGAAGCATAAAAAGATCAAATTCTGTACTGCTTATTTTGGCATTAATTTCAGGGAAAATTCACTTTTTGCCTCATGATTTTCTCTCAAAGTTTAATCTACATTCTTTCAAATACTTTAAATTCATTCTGACCCCAAAAAGACACAATTTCTGTATGAATGTTTGCTTTTTATTGTAATGCAACCAAAACTGCACATCTTGGCACAATACCAGTGAAATGTCCAAACTTCCAAATTGCCTTATTCTTTTCTTTAGGTAATTTCTGGTTCAGTTTGGTTACTGGTTGCCAAGTCATTTTTAATCAAATACCAAATGATAAAATTAAATGTCAAAGGGAGATAACTCATGGTCAATTAACTGCTAATGTTCAACTTCTTAAGAAAACAAAAGGTACAAGCAAGGAAGAAATCTTAACATAGTCCGTATTTTCTGGCTTACAAGACACTGTTGCTTGGAAGACACACACTAATATTGGAAAAGAAAATTCTAATAAAGAAAAAAAAAAGATCATTCTCATACAACAACACATTCACCATGTGTCCCTCACATACTGGCACCACATATTGTTTATATTAATCACTTGTCCGATTTTGTTTGTATAGCAACGACATACAAGTCAAGAGCAGAAAGACTCCCACTGCTGCTAGTAAACAGAGTATGTTTAAGCTTGTGGTTCAGCTCCAGAAGTCTTGGAAATACTTGTAACAGCTAAGTACTGAGGTTGCATTATATAAAAGGCTGAATTAGACAGATAGCTAACATTATAGTGTAATGACTCAACATACAAATCCACGTCCCTATCAGTCATGCTAATTAGGTGACAGTCCAAGCTTACTTGAGTCTTGGCAATGCCTTACATTCATCTTGGAAGATGCACATGTATTTTTTAGGAAAAAAAGTGCATCATGTAAGCTGGAAAATACAGTAATTTGTTTTTTGTTTCATTATAGATTTTATAGCCTACAAATTACTGTTAATTGTTAATGTTCATTGATGTTTGAAGATTTTGTTATTTGCTGGCATAGGCACTTAATTAACATCAAGTGATAATACCTGCCTACATAGTGTTCTTGTCTTAATATCAAAAATTCATTTACAGGTTTCCTTGCTTCCCAGTTAGTAAATCCCTCTTATTCCACTAAGCTATTCTACTCTTTTTCCTTGTTTTCTAAGTTTTTTAACAATTGCATCAACACAGACTTTAGACTTATTGACATACTGTGGATGCAGTTTCTTCATAATTTTCAAATTATTGCATATAAAACATGGCTACATTATCACAACTGGAGATATTTAAAATTGCAATGAAAAAATTCAAAAAGCATTTGCTATAACCTTGTCATTTTTTTCTTATTCTAAAATTCTGGATATGTAACAGACACACAGCAGATATTAACTGAGGCTGACCAAGTTAAATATAAATCTGGCTTGTTTATGATGACCCAATTAAATGGCTTGGTGTCCCAAATAAGTGGAAGAAAATTGTGCCTTTTGAAGATTAGGCTCAAATAAATCAATATGCCAATGAACCAGTGAGACCCAAGTCACTGATTTTTAATAAATGTAAGATTCAACACAAATACTTAACGGTCATTTCATAAAAGAAGAAATTGTCAAATAACACCAAAATACTGTTTCATCAAATGCTTCTGTTTAAGTTTCATAAGTTTGGATTTTAAAAGAATATTATCAATAAATTCTAAGGTTCATAATTTCAATTATAATTTATAGAAAATAAAATTGGTTGCAAATTCTATGTACTCTAACCAGTCAGAAAAAAATAGAATGTGGTTTATTCTTTCATAAAATTGAGGAAAGGTACTTCATTTTAACATAACCAATCATTGAAAATAATTACACCATTTAGCTCAAGCATTGATGCAATCATCTATAGTATTTCCTGTCCTTGCTTAATCATCTCTCTCTCTCTATATATATATATATATATATATATATATATATATATATATATATATATATATATATATATATATATATATATATATCAAGGACGACTGTAGTTGGGATCATAATAAAATTTGAATTCAGACTTTTCCTTCTAGATTGGCTGCCACTAAAGGCTATAGGAGCCAGTTTGTCCTGCTATTTACCAACAGCTGGGGGTGGAGAGATGAAATCAATCTTTTCCCAATCATATTTGCATAGAAGTGAATGTAATAAACTAGCCTAGAATTCAAACTTGGCTCTCCAATTCTTCAATCTGAGCCACTATTCATTACTCTATTATGCATCCTTTTTATTTATATATATAAGTGGACATTGAAGTCAACACTCAAAGGTGACACTTTTATATTCACTTACACTATCTCTGATATTGAGCACTTTATCCAATAAATATAGCATAACTTAAAACTATATATATATATATATATATATATAAAAGAAATATGTTGTAGTGGTTCCAACGAGAGAAAAGTATGTATATTAAAAAAGAGGTGCCGCAAAACGTTTTTGCGGCACCTCTCTTCTTTTTAATATATATATATATATATATATATATATTACACTTCTGACCCCCCACACACACACTCTCACCGGTAGCACAACAGTCAGATGTAGACATAAAAACCAATCCCTCTTGGAATATATTGAACCAGATTGGTTTCAAGCTGGATATTTCATTTTTTTTAAATTTATTTACTTTCAGAATTAAATGTATGATTGTCTATTTACTAGTTTGCTTTAGTAATTTCTATTTATTAGTATGTATGTTTATATACTTTTACTAATATCATATTAAATGAAAAATATATAAAATACATATTACTAATATGTATTTTGCATATTTTGTCATTTTTTTTATCTAGAATGGATGTGTATATTTAAATGAGGTACCTCCACAGATTCATGATACTGAAGGTTTAAAATTAATTTTTAAAATTTAAAACTTTTCCTTGAAGCTTTTATTTTAGTTTTAATTTCAAGCTAATAGATTAAATTTAGTATTTTCAATAAGCAAAATACTTTGCTGTATTTCAAAACTCATTTAAATTGATTGGAATGTGTGTTTGTTTTGAAATTTTTGATTTTAGCATCATTTTAATATAATTCTCTTTATTAAAAAAAATCTTCCAAAAATAAAATATACTTTTCTGAAACTTTATTTGAGGGATATGAGCCAATTTAAAGTATAATTCATCAGATTTGAAAATACAAATATTATTTACTTTAAATTTAAAATATCACAGAAATGCATTTTTTTAACACAACAATAGCTGTTTACTTAAGCTGTCGACATATTTGACAGTTTGATTGACAGATAGATATTTACCTGTTGTTCTACATAAAAAAATAATTGAATATAACATGAGCACCTTTCATATGTAATTTTTAAGTACTCAGTAATCTTAGAAATTTAAGAAAATATTCTATGAAATCTAATATTTTATTGAATTTTAGATATTTTTTGGCTTTAAATTTACTATAGTTATTGCTCTTATTTTCTGATAATGTCATGTATGGACATCCGTTATCTAAAATTGGCACATTTATACATATGCATCTTTTTAAAAATACTGGATGTCCTCAGATTGTAATAAGGTTTACAATTTATGATTAGCAAATAGTTTTATTAATAACAATATTCCCTAACAGTTACACCATTGAAACTGAATTTTAAAAGATTTAAAAACTGTATAAATTATTTTAATTAGAATTGTAAAAAAAAAAAAAAAAAATGGAAACAAATCTTGTAAAAATTCATTATTCATCAAAACATTTTTTCTTAAGACAATATTGTCCTTAATATATATTATTCATAAAAGTGATTAAAAGCTTTTCTAATTAAATAATTCCTAGATTTATAGCATTTTTGATTTTATAATTCAGAAGATTTTCAGTAAGACAGAGTCAGATTTTACAAAAAAATTGAATTACATTCTCCAATGAGATCTGATTTTAAATAATATAATCACTAAAAATTATCTCTTTGAATTTCTTGGGTTTTCATAAAATTAAGTAATTTTTTTACCAAGATTTTCTAAAAGACAAAAATAAAATTTCTAAAATAATTTAATTCATTTATGAATAAGTCCTGAAAGTTTTATTAAAATTCAACAATTATTTGATTTTTGCAAGAATTCCCAAATCAATGTCTTTCACTGCAAAAAAGATGCTAAAATTTGCTATGCTAATTTAGAGTCCATTCGCTGACACAAGAAAAAGTTTTTAATCAAAATTTTTAATGTTTTGAAAAGGATTAAAAAATTTATTTAAATATTCAAAAAATACTTTGGCCTTTCTTCTTATAACAAAGATTTTGACAATAAAACTTAGTTTTCATCAAGTTTGGGGCATTTCTTCATCATAGCATGTTCTTTTTCTTTTCATCAAATTAGTGGAGGTACCTAATTTATATGTACGTATTTATGATTAGGTGAATCGTAAGTGTGTGCAGATAAATCTGGAATTTTTAAATGGCAACATCATCATCATGACGTCACAGCGTAGCAAGATTTCAAGAGCATCATTAGAAAGTACTACACCTCAGAAGCTGTGTGGCCATTAACACACAAAGTGCTTAGTAATCAACATGTCTTCAGAATATGATTGTTGAGCTGCTGTTGTGGAGAGCCTGATCACAAAGCCAAGGAAATCATTGAATGGTTTAAATACACTAAAACCATGGTCTATGACTTTGTAAAGGTATATAGGGCATCAGATGGCAAGGACGATTTCAGGCAAGAATGCAAAACTCATAAGAAGTGCTCTGGTACCACAAGGACACCTAAGGTCATTGTGGAGGTTGTCAAAGAGAATCCCAGCAAAAGCATGAAGAAAATTGCCAAGGAAATGTGCACCAGAAGACGAAAAATCAGGGGTTGTCAAGGAGGGCTTGAATTATAAATTTTATATGTTTGAGAGGCGCTACTTGCTCACTGTACCACTGGTTTCTCAACATGATAATAGCCAGACTGCAATCTGCTCCCCACAACTATTTTGTGTGGAGCATCTTGGAGAGGGAGATGAACAGCAGGCCAAGGAGGCTCTCATGGCTGTCATCAGTGACACCATGACCAACATGAGCAGGGACGTTGTTGTCAAGGCCTGCTCCAGCTTTCAGTCCCACCTGGAGAAAGTGCTGGCCACCGATGGTGACCACATCAAGTGATTTTTCTACCTTATATATGTGCCCAACTGTGTATAAAATTGCATTGAAATGTATTCATTTGTTATATAAAACAGTGTTTATTATCAATTTTTTTCCAGATTTATCAGTGCCACACTGTATACATGAAAATGTTATGTGTCATGCATATATTTACACTTTGGATATATTGGAAGTTATATGTTCACATGCATATCTATATGTATACACATGGATATGTTTTTATGTACATGTTCTGGCATGTGTATATGTTTAGGTGTTTGTGGAGGTACATATAGATGATATAGATGTATTTGAATGTTTATCTATGTGTATGTATTTTTATTTTTGTATGAATACTATAGCAAGTATATTGATATATAAATAGGTATACATAAATGTTTGTTTGTACATCTTTGTATTTCTCTGTAAATGTGGATGTGTGTGTGTGTATATATATATATATATATATATATATATATATATATATATATATATATATTTATATGTGGATATGGTATGATATTTGTGTGCACATTTGCATATTTAAAATTACTTATTAGATGTGTATATTTGTATTTGAATTATAATTATATTATTAAAGTAGAAGGTATATAAAGTGCGTTTATGCCTTTTTGCTTATGAGTATATAAGTGTAAATAAAATGGACTGTTCCACTATCATTATAGTACAGTGTGTATGTATATCAATCAATATTTAAATTATGCAATGTCCAGTTTTCAATCAGCACCTGACGATTTTGTTGTGCATGAAACTCAGATTTGTGCTACTGGTGAGGAAAAAAAATGTATATTTATTATTAATATGAATTATAGTTAATCAATTGAGCACTATTTTATTAATACACACACTCAATGTGCAATATTTTATATATATATATATATATATATATATATATATATATATATATATATATGATAAAAAAAAAATAAAGAATTTCAAAGGAAATGTATCTCAATCTAACATGTTTCACTTTTATTGACACGTCTCTAACCAATAAGAAAGTACCAAAAATCATAACATTCCAGAACTCTGTCTCTTTGCTTTTTTTCATTTCTATCTCGATCTTTGACGAAGCTTTAATAAAAGTGAAATATATTAAATTGAGATACGTTTCCTACTTGATCTTTATTTTATTTTATCATCTTGTTGGATTCCTATCCATATCAGATCTACACTTGATCTTCAAATATATATATATATATATATATATATATATATATATAATGCTCATAAAAAATCTGCACTTCTCTACAGAGTAAGTATCTCTGTTAGCATTTTAATCTAACTTAATGATGCTGTTTTGGGATGTTCTTTCTTCACAAATTTTATTTCCTGAACCATTTTAAATTGCTTCACTGTTAACAGCATCATGATTGTTAGTCAAATCACAATCATTGGTTGGATCAGTTATTGCATCAAAGGAGCTAAAGAGTTCCTCAGAACTTTCCAGAAAGCCAGGACTTGGAGGAAGAGTTTTATCACTATCAGTGTCGATGACTATACAATCATCATCATCAGACTCACTGATTTCAACAATTAATTTGTCCTGTTTATTGGAGATTTCTTTTATAATTTCTACAGAAACATCAGTTTTTGTACTTTCCTGGGATAATTTAATTTCTCTCACATCATTAGACTTTTGAATGTTTGTGTCAGTCATTATAGAAATGCCCAAACTGGAATTAATAGGAAGAACTTTGTTACCAAAGAACTGCTGTCCATTCTCTTCTTGAAGAATCATATTTTTAGAATTCAAACTGTGGCGATTGTTTTTGTTGGTATCACATTTTATTAGTTGCTTATTTTTATCAAAAGTTTCATTGGTAGCCAAGACTGCAAGCTGACTACCATTTGGCTTTTCCTTGCTATTATTTTCCTTTTGACATATGGAAATATCATCAATTTCCAATTCCATTCCTAATATTCCTTTCTTTCTGATTGCTTCCACATTATCAAGTTCCTCTGGAAGAATTCTTTTCAATTGGCATCTCATGTTATCTAAAGGTAAATCCATTTTGCAGTATTTCTCCTGACTGCAACTTTCTTTCTTATTTACCCTGTATATTTTGGTAGGTTTGGAAGAGAAAAAACTTCCTTCAATTTCTGGAAGCTTTAAAGCCGAACTGCAGGAATACTCATTCCATTTCAACTTATTATCTTTTTGATTCATTTCTTTATTGGCATCAACAACCACCTTTTCCTTTGTGGTATTATCTAAATCTATTGAATTTTTATTAAATGACTCATTATAGTTGACAGTGCCAATAGCAGGACTTATTTTACAATCATTGTCTGCCTCAGCCACAATTGTTTGTTTTAAGATTTCTGGCTCATTATCTGAGCAGACAACTGCCAAATTCTTATCTGATATAAAAACAGCAGAAACATTTTCATCTTGACAATCTTGATGGGAAGATTCTGTGTTAAGAGGCTTATTTTGTGATCCAAACATCTTTACAAGATCCTTGGACCTTTCTGAACAGATTTCCTCAGCTTTATATATCTGTCCATTGCAAATGTCTTTGGATACATTTGTTTCCTGTTCTTCATAATTCTCCCCTGCAGATATCTTAATGGAATCTGATTGCGCCTTCGTTTCAAGTTCTTCCTGTTTTTCTCTTGAGAACTTTGGGGATGTTTCAACACTTTTCTTATTTTCATCTCCAGATTTTGACAAAGTTAAATCTAGTTGCATCTTTAAGTGTTGGTTTTGAAAAAATTCCTCTTCACATTCACTATCACTGTTGTCTCCAACATACACTCGTAAGGAACAACTCGACTGAAAGGAACCACTTAATGGTAATGAATTCTCTGTTGGCTGATTTTTTTCCTCAAATGTCTGTGAGAAATTTTTGAATTCTTCACTGCTGTATAAATCAAGTTCACTGTCATCATTATTGCTTCCATCATAAGATGACTGCGAATTCTGAATTGAACTCTCTTCTTGCGAATTCTGAACTGAACCCTCTTCTTGCGAATTCTGAATTGAACTTTCTCGTGAATTCTGAACTGAACTTTCTCGTGAATTCTGAACTGGAATCACTTTGGAATTTACTGATTGGCTTTGGGTTTCATCAAAAACACAATCTCCAAAAGAAGCAGAATCTAGAAAAAAAAAAGCAAAAAGAGATTTTTTATTGTGTAAAAAAGTAACAATTATAAATTTTATGCAAACATTCTTAACATCCTGTCCTTTGGAAACTAGAGACTTGAATTCCCAGTTGAAAACTGGCATTCAGTGATTTTTCAGTGAGAAAAAGGAAAAATGGGAATGTACAAGAGACATGTTACTATGCAGCTTGTTTTTTTTTCAAGGTGGGCAAGATAAAAGTGAAGAGGATTATTGATGAAGCATAGAGATGATGGGAAATATTGCAAACAGTTGACAAAGTTCAAGAAAAGAAGACAAAACTAGGAATCAGGAAAAAGCCAGAATCATTTGGAAGTGTTGGCTTGCTATTTTCTTTTGGATTATGACCTAACTGAATCAATGATAGAATTAACTGAAGAAGTTAGAGTCAATCTGCAATTGTAAGATATTTGCAAATGGCAAAGATTCAAAAAGCAGGGAAAAAATGGATTCTACATGAATTGTCAGAGAAACATTGGAACATTGACTTCTTTCCAGACATGAAAAGAATCATTTTTTTTTTCTTTTTTAGTGATATGAATAATAATATGAAGCCACTAAAATCATAGGGGGGGGGGATCCTGGAAACAATCTGAAGCATCAACAAAAATTTGGGGAATAAGTTATTGCTCTTTATTTAGTGGGATATAAAAGACATAACATATTAGAAATTTCTGAATCCTAGTGAAATATTACTCATTAACTTAAATATTTTCATGGTAATTCTTTGGATGAACTTTCATCAATGGTACTTAGACTCTATGAATTTAAGCACAATTCTAGATTGGCGACAAGGTTTCAGCTTTTTACAGTTGAAATGGCTAGATGTAACCATTAAGTTCTATGCTAACAATTTTTTTTCTCTCACTTCTCACTTGTGGAACTCTCTTCCAGCTTTTTGTAAAAATTTAAATGTAATGTTAATCGTTATTTTTTGTCCTCTTAAATTCTGTTCCTTTATTATACTCAATTATGTTTTTCTTATATTCTTCCACACTCAGTACTGACCCCCTGCATTGCTTGGGGTGAAATAGTTAAAACAAAAACAACAAAAAAAAAGAATTTTGAGCACGGAAATTGAAACAAAGAATCTATCTACAGGACAAAGAAAGTCAGAAAGCAATTGTAATGCACAATAACACTCATCACCATTGCTGGTTTGTCAAATCAATAAAAACAAAATAGAGTTGCAAATAGGAATTTTCTCCTCATGCCCTATCTTCAACAGACTTGGCAGCATTGGATTAAAATTTGTTTGGATCAATGCAGCATCTTTTATCTAATCCAAAATGATAAATAACTCTTTCATGTTTCAAATTTCATTTCATCAATTTGATAAGCTTTCACAAACAATGACATAAAGTAATAGAAAAATCAAAGACAATATTTTTTATAAATGGATGTACAATTTTTTTATGAATCAACTAAAAATGCTGAAAACTTTTATACATACCTAAAAATATTTACCATATTTGATCTTTTTTCTTAAATTTTTATTTCTATATAGATATTTGAACATTTCTACACATTTTCTAATGAAATATATAATTTTTATATAAGAGATGCCTGTGGTTCAAATGATAAAGAGATTTTTATTTTATCATTTTAAACATTATTTTTAGTGGATACCCATATTTGAATAGACACTTCATTTATTTATTAAACAGTATTTTTTTTTTCATCTACTAGCCTGAATAATTAAGAAAACTTATTAAAGAAAAATATGTGCTCACTGGCAGAATTCAAACCTGTGTCCCCCTTTGCAAGAGAAACTCTTGTTAGATCCAACATGTTGTAGACCCACTTGGCCACAAAGGGTCTCACCAATGAAGAAAAATTGGATAGTAGAGAACTTGATTTTGGAGTAGATAATAGAGACATTTTATTCAACCAGTTTTTCTTTATATTCAATAAACCCATTATATCAAGTGTTGTGTATTTTACTGAAGGAATTCTTATTCCAGGCTAATTCCAAACTTAGTACCTGGACACAGAGATAAAAGTTACCATGGTCACAAACAGGAATTACATAATCTTGCCTGTGGTACACAACATACATACATACAGAAGGTGTACACTAGATTTTGCTGTCAATCTCAAATATCATAAAAATATGGCAAACCTGAATCAAGCCTATCAAGACAACACACTGGCCCAAATCAAGGAGGGGAGAAAAAGTTAAATGACCCATAAAGGTCAGTATTATTCAACAAAGCTAGTGGAGCTGAAAACTGAGAAAAAGAAGAGATGGAGAGAAGTGTGGTATGTAATTGATAGGAGTGAGGGATACAAATGACTCGCCTCAAAACGATAGAAAATACCAAAATACTCCTGGTTTGCGGGGAACATTTATATCTTATCTCAGAATGTGACCCAGTTATTCCCATTTAGTCTCCTGTTTTTTTTTTTATTTATTACAGATTCTTTGCATATCTCCTTTGAATATTTTTTTTCTCAGGTAGCATATATTCAGCAGTTTACTGCCCACCCAACAGTTGAAATCGCCCACCAGTGGGTGATATCTCCCAGGTTGGGAAACCCTGGTATAGGCTGTAATTAATGTCACAAGATACCTACAGGTGAAACATCTAGGAATTTAAATAAAAGAATTTAAGAACATAAAAAGGATCTTTTAGGAAATAACACATTCAATGTATTAGTTGTTTATTGCAATAAGTCTGATCAAAATTTCAAGTTAAATTTTTCATGCACATAATTATAGTTTCCTTTTAATTAAAAATCAGTAAAACTTAAATCCTCAGTTGAAATGTTTCACTCATCCTGTTCAAAATTTACTTGCAGTTATCAATGTCAAAAACAGAATTTGTCAACAGCAAAATTTGTTTTCAATCAATAAGCAAAAATAAATCTTATTCTATTATATATGATCTATTCAGACTTCAGGTACCTTTGTAGTTATCATTACATTTCAGCTGTTGAACTCTGCACCCTTCTTCAGGTGTCTTTCATATTTGATAACCTTCTTGGAATTTTAAACTTCAGCCTTTATTCAATCAAGGCAACTTAGTCTTAGTCAACTGTAAATCTAGGGGAGATAACTTGTATTAATGAATTCTTTCAAGATAATTGTCAAATGGCTAAGTGTTGTGTGCTTTGTCATAAAGGCCGTGATTTCAATTCATAAAATGTTACAGGTCTGTTGCTCTAAGACATATGTAAAAAGAAAAATTAAAATGGAAAATAGTTTAAAAAAAAAAAAAAAAAAAAAGGGAAATTTGGGTGCAGCCTGGAAATCATACTTATTATAAAACACAGGTTGTGTGTGTGCATGTGTGTGTCTGTTCGTTTATATATTGGATCGGATTTCCTACATTTTTCAACCGATTTCAACAAAACTTCACAGGACTATGTAAAATTACCTTGTGGTGGTTCTGACAGCGCCAAAAATTGGAAAAACAATTGTTTTTGCATGAAATCAATTTGAAAACACGATCAAGAGGCATCACTGACGCGGGAATGAATCAAGGACAACTCATATCGAGTTATACTTATTATAAAACCCAGGTTGTTTGTGTGTGTGTGTGTTTGTTTATATATGGGATCAGATTTCCTACATTTTTCAACCAATTTCAACAAAACTTCACTAATTTTTTGGCAGGTAGTGTTTCTTATAAGTATGATTCTATTCAATTGGTAGACTCATAACGATTGAAAACAATGTTTTTGTTTGAGTTTGACAAATTTGTAAAAAAAAAAAAAAAAAACAAAACCAAAAAAAAAAACTAATTAAGACATGCATGTCCGCCAACCTTAAACAATAATCTTTGTCAATTTTATTTTTCAGTCTTTATGATGGTCGATACTTGATCTATCTCTTACTGTTACATCTCCGGGCAACGCCGGGCTCTACTGCTAGTTATGAATAAGATGGACAAAAAAAAAAAGACATTTTTACTTCAGTTCCTTCCAATAATTCATTATCAGTGGTATGTACGTATTATGTAAATGAAAAAGTTTCCAGCAGTTTTATTTTTAAATAAAATGGCTTTTCATTCTCTAGTTTTACAAAAAAAAAAAAAAAACACAGCGTTTGTAATTCATATGCAAGTCTAGATTGGCTACCACCAAGAAATTATTCCCAAATAAGACAGAATAAGATTTACCTTGAACAGACGATTTTGTAATTTTCATGATTCCAAGTGGCTGTTCTTCTGATTCTATGGAACTGAAATGCTTATAATGAGGATTCAAGAGAAACGAATTTAGTGCATCTTGTATCTGAAACATAATATAAATAATATTTTCATCAAATAATTGATGTAATGTTGTATATAATTTTTGTCTGAATTTCTGGGATGAGGAGTTAACATAATTTACACTACTTATATTCAGACTATTGTCTTCATTGTTGTTTTTATCACGTTTCAGCCATTGTGCCATTATGACCTTCCTCAGATGTATATCGATCTGGGTAACCTACAGGGAATTCTAAATTGAACCCTTTATTTAATCCATGGGGGTAGACTGTTCTTGTTCCACTGCTCATGTCTAAAGATATTGTCTAGTTCTTATTTTATTTAGCACTCTTCTGTTATTGCTTGGAAAATAACTGAACAGTACTAAATATCATCTAATTCTTATTAGTCAATACTAAACTATACTGTCAGCTATATATGTTCAATCAACTCTTTACCATTGATATGACCAATGACATTAAGAGTCTACTGTGCAGTGGTCAGCACCACTTTGTATTACATGTGTAGGACATGTAGAATTGCAAACCACAATTCTAATGCAAACCCAAGGGTTATGTGCTGCCAAACATAGAAGTTTCACAGCACATTTTTTTTTGGAAAGCCTTCTCTTCTAGTCAGTATAGATGTCATGAAAAATTTTGAACATCTAGGTCATGTTTTATGGATGCCATCTAAAAAGCTTCCTAACATAATACCTATGGAATTGATGAAAATAGGTGTCATCTCCTTGCCATTATTGAGTGCAGTGATTTACTTGGTTGGTATAAAAAACAAGATAGACACTGATGTCGAAGTGAATGGACATGTTTTTTTCATTGCCCAAAGAAAGTAATGTTGTATTTTAAAAAATGGTAAGTCTTTATTTATTAATTTTTTTTTTCTTATATTTTTTTGCTTTCTCTTTTTAAAATAAGTTATTTAGCAAGTTTAATTACTTTATTAAGAAAGTCTATTATCATTAGGAATTGTTATATTAGGAACATTTAATGCATTGTATTTGTTAAATTACTTATACACTGGTATGAATAACTATTTATATTTAAGCATAACATTTCTCTCTTTTATGAATGGTGTAATTTTCAAAATTGTAGGAAATGTATTTCGAGTTGTAATGTTTTTGTTTATCATTAACTATTGGTTCAGTATCATTGATTTCTTTCCCTATCATTTATCATTCTAACATTTTGCCAATAATTCTATTCTGTTATCCTTTTCTTATTTATTGATAATAGTCTTTCAAGTTGTAACGTTATTTTTTTGTTCAGTAGCAGAAGCCACACTGAATCTCCTCCACAACAGTCTATCAACGGTAGCCATCAGCAATTCTGGTATAGTCATAACTGTCCATTGTTTGACATTGTCCAACCGGTTTTTGCATTGGCATCCTCTCCTATATCCACCTTCAACAGTGTATTGCATGATGGTCTTGCACAGGCTGTTGTGCCTTGTAACATGTTCAAAACATGTCATTTTTCTCTGTTTGACAGTGGCGAGAAGAGGTTCCTGGTAGCCCACAAAACTCTCAACCTTTTTCATGTTCTCATATATTTAATGATAATTTTATACTTTTATTTGTTTTGTTCTTTTCTTTTATTTATTGATTCATTTCTATTATTGTCATTAAAGTAATAAGTCAAAGAGGTACATTTGATGACTGTTCACTCCGACATCCAGTGTAAAATATATATGATTTTTCTTTGGTCATGTTAGAGGGCTTACTTGTCCCAGTGATCCTAAGAGTGAAGCTGTCTGGAGTCCCAACTCCTGTAGGGCTACCCATGATGGCAAGGTTGAGGGGCAAGAACCAGAGTGAATACAACCAACCCCCAAAGATTCCAATATCACAATAGGCAAAGATCTACACAATCTCAAGGTGGAAGAGGGCAGCACCGATCGGGTTGGCGTAACCAAGGCGGACCTTGACAGACTAAGAATCTGACAATCCAATACAACCAGGTATGCCAGATCTCGCCTGTCCCAATCCCCTTTGAGCCATGAGGGAGGTGCTTTCTTGTCAAACTCTCTTTGATTGACAGCCATCTCTGCTACCAGGGGTGGGTGGAGAAATGGAATAGGGAGAGAGGATGACAATCTTGATGTGAACAAGCACCGCCAACAACAACAAAAAAAAAAGGACTGATTCACTGGCAAAGCTGAAAGATCTGCAACAACCAAGTTGATCATGACAACAAATAAAAGAGAACAGTTAACAGATCAAAGGTCATTATTTTTTTAGAGCAGCTGCCAATTTGACCTTATTGAACCAATCAAACTTGCTATTAAGACAGGAGTAAATAGTTCAGTCATTAGTATAGTTACAGATTTGAGAATTGATTATACTGGGAAGGTCATTGATGAAAATTAGGAATAACATATGTCCAAGGATAGAGCTCTGAGGACTACCCGATTTAATGCAAAAAGATCTTGAACAGTGGCTATTGAAGACATTTCTACTAAGAAACAATTATAAAAACATTAAACATTTTCAGAATAAATCCAATGTTTAATATAAATCTAAATATTAAGTAACTGCTATAAAGAGATGGCAGACAAGCAAGTCTAACAGATTTAAAATTTAATTTTCATTTAATATATGCTTTATTTGTAAATGTATACATTTTAAAGAATTGTCTTTACTTATTACTATATTGCTCTGTAACTTACATTGAGCTCTCTCTGCATTAATGTCCTCCTTGGAATTATCCCTACCAATTTCCAACTGGTATTTTATATATATATATATATATATATATATATATATATATGAAAATGATAGGATATGGAACAAATAGGAAAAATTTATCAATTTATAAATGTTTAAAATTCATAAACATTTTCTATTTGTTCCTTATCCTATCATGTGTGTGTGTGTGTGTGTGTTGACCATTGGCTCCTATAAGAAACTAATGACATTGAATCTCAAACTGATCTTCTAGACAAAAAAAAAAAAAAAAAAAAAAAACCTTTTCCATTGTGAGATTTCTGAATTAACACTAGATTTTAATTTTACCTCATCAAATGTCTTTGAGGTTGGAATCACATTTGGGAAGACTCTTGCTGGCTTCAAGTATTGAACCAAATCCCGTATCTCGGCATATGAAGAGTGGAATGAGTAACAAGCTCGATATCTGCTCGGCCCGTTCTGCGTAACAATATTGACAATTTCTGGAAGCGTTGTGAACCACATGGTGGATGGTTTAATTCGTATCAAATTCCCGCTATTATTTGGTAGGACAAAACCACAAGGCAAACCGTTTTTTACAAATCGCTGAAAATGAAAATGAAAATGTCAGACATTCAGAAAACAAAACTGATATATAAACAAGATATCTGTTTACACTATTTAAACTGTTCAAACTGTTATCCTCATCTTTATTGTTATGTTCACAACGTTTCGGTTGTTATATGCTCCGGCCTTCTTCAGATGATATATGTTGAAATTTTGAACTGAACCCTTTATTTCATCCACTGGGATAGGCACATGACCCAGTGGATAGTTGAAGTAAAATCCAAAGAGCTGTGAGTTCAATAACTAGACACACTAAAGGTGAACAAAAACTTAGAGAAAAATAAGAGAGAGAATTAACTGAAACTGAGATATCAAGAAAAGGCATGGCATGTGGAACTACAGCAATCTACCTCAGTGGATGAAATAAAGGGTTCGGTTCAAAATTCCAACATATATCACCTGAAGAAGGCTGGAGCATACAATGTCCAAAACGTCATGAATATAACAATAAAGATGAGGACAACATGCAAACAATGTAAATAGTGTAAATAGTTACAATACCTCATCTCAGAAATATAGACAGAAGATTATCAGTTTTTATATGTACATCAGTAATAATAAAGTTCAGAAAATACGAAAATTTTTTTCTTATTTGTGAAATTTTACAAACAGATTTTTAATTTTGTTTTAACACATTTACTGCAACCTTTTAAACATAGAGCATAAAATAAATACACCTTCTGCATACTGCTAGAAGATGGAAACTGAATCAAGTTATATTTACATAACTAATTACATAGTTATATTTAATGCCACACTTATTAAAAAAAAAGAAGGTAACTTACTTAGAAGGAAAATTCTTGAAATTGCCACTATTGAGTCCTATCAAAATATAAATTTGTACCCCAGATTCTTCCCAATATGCCATTTCCTGAAAGAATTACTACTATCCCAAACCAAAATACATAACCACAAAAATACTAAAAACTTAAAAGAAAAAGGTTAAAGCCATAACCTCATGTTATTCAAAACATATAACACATAAATTAATCCAAAATAACTGAAATACTAATTCACACACACACACACACATATATATATATATATATATATATATATATATATATATATATATGAAGAAATATAGTTTTAAGGGGTACCATATTTATGGGATATAAAGTGCTCAATATAAGAAATAGAGCATATGTAAATATAAACGTGAACATTGAAGTCAACACTCAAGGCGACAGGCTGTTTCATGCTGGACGCAATCATCAGGCCTTGAATGCTGGATATTTCCTCGGCTATTTATATATATGGGTCAGTGGTGCATTGTGGGTAATCTATTCGGGTGGTTATTTTGCGGGAGTGGCTTGTTTGTTTATTTGTTTAGGTTAATTTATTTAACTCGTTTTTCATTTTCATTTTGTATTATTTATTCTTTTCGTTTTTTGATGTTTTATTAATGTAGTAAAAAATTTGGAGGGGGCATTTGCTTAGGTCACTTATTTAATAGTTTGTTTTAGTCTGGGAAGAATGTTTACATTGCTTGCCATAGTCTATTCTGTTATTTTGGCGGGTGGGGGACAGTTTTACTTTATTTACTCATTTGAAATGAAACAGCCTGTTGCCTCTGAGTGTTGACTTCAATGTTCACTTTTATAAATATATATAAAAATGAACATTGAAGTCAACACTCAGTGGTGACGGGCTGTTTCATGCTAGACGCAATAATCAGGCCACGAGTGTTGCATTTTTCCCAACTATTTATCGTGGCCTGACAATTGAGTCTAGTTTGAAACAGCCTGTTGCCACTGAGTGTTGACATTTATATATTTATATATGCTCTATCTCTGATATTGAGCACTTTATCCAATAAATATAGCACACTTTAAAACTATATTTCTGCATATATATATGCACACACACACAAAAAAAATTTACTTTCGTTTATTAGGCATTGAGTTGTATCATGAACTTCCCTAAGTCTTCCATAAACCTGATGAATATTTAATGAACACGCCTATGCCAAAAATTTTGAAAAATCAATAATGCTTTTGCTTTTGTATAAGAATAAAAAAAAAATAAAATCCTTACATTTGCCTTGATGAAGTCCCTCAGAGGACAAAACGCATTGGCTAAGATAAGTTTTCCCTTTTTGTCTTTATTCAGAGATTTTTTATATATATATATATATATATATATATATATATATATATATAGCTGGCCACTCATTTGAGGATACCCATTTCCAAGGGTTGCTAATCAATCCCTATTTAATTGTAACTATTAAAAATAATATTTAATTTGAACTTTGTTAACCAGACACTTCTGTGTAGCTGAGTGGTATAGCATGTCAGATCAATTGATGGTTCTGTATAGGACACAGGTTCAATTCCTGTTGGAAAATGCATATTTTCTTCAAAATTTCTTGAACATTCAGGCCAGTAAATGTAATTAATACTGTTTATTTAAAAAAAAACAAAAAAAACAGAGTATTTACTTAAATAAATTGTATCTATTAAAAATAATGTATAAACAGAAAATATATTAAATAATTGTGACATAATCAACTTCATTATATATTTATTTATCACATGCAGTGTTATATTAGAACATGCTTTTTCTTTTTTTTTAATGTAAATTGTTCTGTTTTCTTTTTAAATGTAAATTGTTCTGTTTTCTTTTTAAATGTAAATTGTTCTGTTTTCTTTTTAAATGTAAATTGTTCTAATGTAACACAGCATAAGAAAGATAAATATTTACGGCTCTACTTTGTGTATTAAGCACTGTTTTAAAATTAATGTTTTGAACGCTGTAATCTTCCTGTTTGTCCTCCTACACTTTGATATATATATATATATATATAGCTCAAAGCTACGTTTTCTTGCTTCTTCCATATATACATATATTTTCTTGCTTCTTCCATATATATATATATATATATTTTCTTCCTTCTTCCATATATATATATATATATATATTTTCTTGCTTCTTCCATATATATATATATCCATATATATATTTTTCTTGCTTCTTCCATATATATATATATTTTCTTGCTTCTTCCATATATATATATTTTTTCTTGCTTCTTCCATATATATATATATTTTCTTGCTTCTTCCATATATATATATTTTTCTTGCTTCTTCCATATATATATATATTTTCTTTTATATATATATATATATATATATATTTTCTTGCTTCTTCCATATATATATATATATTAAATTTTTCTTGACAAATTTTACCTATTACAAATACAAATTTTACAAATAGATTTTTACTTTTCAATTTGTTTTATTAAGTGTATGAAGAAATTCTCAATGAAAGACTAGTTTTTAAATGTGTATTTAGTGTTTAGATTTCACAAAAGAATGCTGCAAATTTTTCCACACACATAAAGGATAAGAAATAGTCTTCTATTACTTTATATTTGTTTTCTGGATGAGCATGAATCCTGGTTTCTTCTGCATTCTCAGTGAAAATGTCCTCAAGTCCAGAAATCTGATCATACAAAACCTTTTTCCAATGATCCACATGAATCTATCAAGAAATAAAGAATACAATTAGTGCATTTATTCTACTGATTTGTTTAGTAGGAGATCAATGGATTTATTTAGAATACAAACAAAATTCTAACATCTTAAAAGTATTGCTATCAACATAAACATTGCTATAAAATTAAATAAATAGGCATAGAATCTAATACATCGGCATCCATCCATCTCGAGAGACAATGGAGTAGCACAGCATGCTATGAGCCTGGGCAGGATATATGGAGAACTAGGGCTGCCCAGACGTCTAGGTCCCCCCTCTCAGCCTTGCTAGCAGAGTTCAAAGGAGAGGATAAACCAATACAATTCGGTACCAGCGCTGCTGCAGGAGTTGCCAGAAGGTAGCACAAAGTGCCATCCATCCCCCTTAGGGGCTCCACTCCGGGTTTGAATTCAGAGTTATCCTTCTCCTAGACCAGTTGCCATCCAAGGCTATAGAACCCAGTCTGTCCTACTATTTACTCATAGCTGGAGGGAGAAGAGGATTCACACCTTTCTCAATGGTATTAGCACATAAGTGAATGTAATGGATTTGACTGGAATCTAATAAACAGTTAGGAACAGTATTGAACAGACAAGTAGAAATAAAGTCAGACAGGTAGAAACAGTATCAGACAAACATGTAGGAAGATAATTGGACAGGTGGGATCAGATGGACAGGTAGGAACAGAATCAAATATATTGATAAACACATATTTTGCTACAGTAGTAAAACTACAATTATTCAACAAAAGTATATTTTCCTATCACAACAAAAGAACCTAAAATAGCTTCAGAAATACAAAACTAAAAGGGAGATAATAATTGTAATCATTTTTAAAAGAAAGTTTTACAAACTTTGTACAGTGTAACCCGGATATAAGAGAAACCCGGATATAAGAGAGATTTTCTCTGGTCCCAAATTAGAGCCTGTGTTAATGCATATAAAATAGACCAAACCCGGATATAAGAGAGATTTTCTCTGGTCCCAAATTAGAGCCTGTGTTAATGTATATAAAATAGACCAAACCCGGATATAAGAGAGATTTTCTCTGGTCCCAAATTAGAGCCTGTGTTAATGTATATAAAATAGACCAAACCCGGATATAAGAGAAACCAGGATATAAGAGAGATTTCCTCTGGTCCCAAATTAGAGCCTGTGTTAATGTATATAAAATAGACCAAACCCAGATATAAGAGAAACCCGGATATAAGAGAGATTTTCTCTCGTCCCAAATTAGAGCCTGTGTTAATGTATATAAAATAGACCAAACCCGGATATAAGAGAAACCCGGATATAAGAGACTTCTTCTCCGGTCCCGACAACTCTCTTATATCCAGGTTACACTGTATAACTAAAAATCATTTTCATCAATATTTCACTCTTCTTCAGAAATCCTGTCTACTCAGTGATATGAAGATAATCTGGAGCCTAGATTAACGGGAGTGGAATAAGAATGTTGTTTTACATCAGATACATAAATGAACGGATTTGAATCTTTGAACCAAATACAGCTGAAAAAGACACAAAGATATATTCACAAGAGAAAAGTACATTATATTTATCACCAAAGCAAATGCTAAAGTCAGAATTTATTCAATATATCAAGAATAAGATCTTTTCAAAACATTCTAAAATTTTATTTCAAGCTCACCTTCATCTTCATGTGCAATGAAAGTTCTTTAAGAAGCATCTCGTATCCAAAATTAGTTCTGGATTCAATCCATATATAAGCATCTGGTCCATATTTCTGAAAATGCGAACTAACAAGGGAGATAACTCCCGCTTCACACTGCTCTCGACTTGGAATATGGAAGGCTTTTGGACAACAAAATGTTGTATCCACATACATACTCCTCAGCGGTTTTGCACTGCAAAAATATTAATTAAAAAGATTAATTCTAGGTTATAATGAAAATACATCTTTTTTTAACAATTGTACTAAATTTAACTGTTTTATATATAAGTGGACATTGAACTCAACACCCAGCAGCAACAGTCTGTTTTATACAATAATCAGGTCATGTGCGTTGTGTTTTTCCTCTGCATTTTATATATACTGGTCAGTGATGCATAATGGGTAGGCCTATTGTATCATTTTAATCGTTATTTCAGTGAGTGGTAAGTTATGTTTCGAATTATTCTAGCAGTTACTGAGCTAAAGCATGAAACAGACTATCGCTGAGCTTAATGATGCCTTAAAACTATATATATATATATATATATATATATATATATATATATATATATATGTGTGTGTGTGTTAGCTCTATCTCTGATATTGAGCGCTTTCTAATAAGTACCGCACATATAATATATAATTATATATATATATATATATATATATATATATATATATATATATATATACACACATTTTTCACACACACACACATATATATATATATATATATATATATATATATATATATGAAGATCTGACTTCTTTTATACTAAGTTACTGCTTTTAGTGAAAGCAATCATTAAAAAAGCAAAAGCTTGATTCAATTAACTACAAAATGTTATCATAATTTTATCAATATCCTTTTTTGTTTCATGCCCATTTATCATTTTCCTTTTTTGTAACACATCCATTTAATATATTTATTTATACTTGTTTGGTTAAATTTTTTTTTGTGACTTATTTTGGCCCAGAATTTCACATCATATTTCTGCTAAATATTGTTTGCAGATCAAATATACCAGGACTCATTAAATGTTTACTGAAAAACGTACACACCTTGCCACAAAAGTGGTCAGTCTTGCAACATAATCAATGAAGGATTGCAAAGAAGTTTCAAAAGTTTCTCCAGCATAAAGAGCTATATCCATTCAAAGTGTAATTAAGTCTGACAATGATTTCTTGTGATGGTCATAGTGAACAATTACGTGGCAGTTATCATTCATATATGTGTTATAAAATAAAATAAGATATATCTCGGCTGATTTGCAGGCAAATAAACTAACCTACTCAAGAGCGAGAGCCGGATGTGAACAGGACAAGGCCCCATCACAAAATGACCATTATCGTCATTTGTGCATAGGCCCGACGCACGAGTTCCAGTCGAAAAATAAAATATTTTAAAGTGTTTCTATTTTTCGACCAATAAAAATGCTTCCTTCCTAATTATACTCACATCATTTTTCAAGCCTGTTAAGCCATAAAAAACACCATAAAAGGGGTCACACAGGGAAGTACAAGAGCAGTCAACAGGAGGCCAGGGAAGAGATCTGTCATGGTCGGTCTGAGCAATCAGCAGGAGGAGTGCCACGCCAACCAGCAAGAACTACTATGAGAGATCAACCCAGATCGGCAGCTGGCTTATGAACTATACCACGAGGTAGCTGTCCCAAACCCACATGTTCCTATTGAAATAAATCACGTAAATCTATTTCTTCTGTTGTCGTATTTCTTTCTTGCAGTCATACGCTTGTCTATAACATATGTATAAAAACATTAGTAACAGTATAAGTTTGTTTGTTACATGTGTTTTTTTTTGTTATGTATAATGATAGATATCCTTTACTACCCATCAGGGCCTGTGTTTACTACACTTGATGAGTCAGAAGCCATTGTCAAAATGCAAGATAAATAACACAAACAGAATGAATAAAGTTTGCAATGAAAAGAAAAAAAGGTCAAAAAGAATGAAACAGTAAGAAACAAGCAAACAATATAGTTAAAGCAAATCAAATAGGTAAGAAGGCAAAAGAATTCATAAACTATGAGTTAGTGTTTGTACACAAAAGCAAAGTTGCACAAGTGAATATAATATGTCTGCCTAGTAGTTAAGGCAAATCTGGACTGAGTCATGTCAAAACACAAGCTGTTTCATTTTATTGGCTAAGAAAAATATCCCAGCATGCATTTTTGTTTCCTTCTGACTATAAAATGGGGAGGGGGAAACCTTTTGCAATCATTTCCCCAAATTTGGGGAATCTACAAACCAACTAAGCCTCAAACCTGATTGGGGACACTTGGGCAGTGCTTTATGACCCTTGTTATCTTATCAACATTTGCTTTTTTTTCTAACTACATTTATATATTTTACAAATGAAACGAAGCACAACTGATTATTATAGACTCAAAATTTTTTTTGCTGATTTTGATTTCATTTTGGGGGCTTTTTTTGCCCAAATCCATAAATTTGTTTTACTTGTGTTAAGTCTCAAAAACCAAACTCAAAGCCAAAGAAAAAAAATTTACATATTAAATAAAATATGGTAGATTAACTCAGGATAACATGAGAAATCGATCAGGTTTACTGATTTTCAACGTACCTTGGATTCAAATATGGTATGTGAGTGGCTTCACTATTTCCCCAACGAAAATCTCCTGTGTACAAAACATTGTCTTCTTGTCCTTCAAAAAGAAACCTGATACCATAAAAAAAAAAAAACTTTAATGTAAAATAGCAGATGACAACAATGCTTATTAAGAATGCAATAGATCTCTAACTTTTTGACAGATATAAATTCTTTCTATACAAATATGATGAATTTAAAAACAACCTTTATCAATACAGACATTGCTTATACATATCAATTTATTAAATTTGAATTAAAAATAAATAACTAAAGGAAATATATATATATTTTCCTTTTATACACAAAATTTCAGACTTTGCAAACCAGATGTTTCTTTGAGGCTAAATGATTAACAATACATCAGATCAAATTATGGTTCCTATTAAGGGTTACAGGTTCAATTCCTGTCAGAGAAGCACATATTTTCTACTAAATTTCTCAAACATCAGGCCACTAAATGTAATTAATACTGTTTAATTAAAAACAGAGCATTTACTTAAATAAATTATATCTATAAAAATAACATAAAGAAGGAAAATATATTAAAATAATTGTTGGATTTAATCCATTTCATAATATATATATATACGTCCTAAAAATATTAATTACATGTTAATGCAGCTGTTTTGTTCTACTAATGTAAGATAGGAACACACAAACAAAATATTACTCATAATCTTGTCATTAGTATTTTTATTACTAGTTGAATACCGTTATACAAACAGAAATGTTAAGTCGCAATAGAAAAATCGCTGACATTTCTGGATAAACAACATTTTCAGCAAGATATCTATTTTCTAAAGTACTTTTTGTCCTTAAGCTAAGTGCACTTGAATTTCCTACTCTGGAGATAGCTACATAGAGCTGACCAGGAGAGAAACATTTGAATTACGTTTATATTAATAATAAAAACTAATTCAGCAAACTTAGTATCTTTTTGCTTGTTTAAATAATTTGTTACAGTTTTATTTAAACAGATTGACTCAGATAATTCTGTAAAAATTTTCTTTGATCACACTTGACTAATATGTAGTAAAGTTAAATGATGACAGTAAAATGGTTATTACGGGTGCTATGGGAAATGATGATAACCAACTTTGCCCAGCATAAAAATATAAAGTTCTATAAAAAATTTGAATATTTTTTTAATTATTTACGTGATTTTATTTTAAAAAACAAGATCTTTCATAGAAGCCATGATTATATCTATTTTGTTTTATGTAAACACATGGATATTTTTTCTGCTAACTTAAGACTCAATTTTAACATGTTCTTTCTAAACCAACATAATATATAAAAAAATGTCTTTGACAAAAACAGATTATATGGCATTTTTGCATTTGAAATAAAAATAAACACTTATACTTATCAAAATATAGTTTGAAAAACAGCCATGCAAATTAAATGCTACCACTTATATTGTAAACGCAATTAGTAATATATATATACAAAAAGGCTGACAATAAATTCATTCTGTGTTAGTAGTGTGAGCTGTTTTATTCTGTCGATTTTAGGTGGACACACACAACAGACAAAATTTAGCCTTTATCTTGTGAAATAAGTTTATTTTGTTTATGAATGAAAATCAATGCAATGAACATGTTAGGAAAATCTATTTGGAAAGAAATCAATATTTGATCAATAAAATGAAAAGTAGATTTTGTATAAACATCAGTTTATTTGCATCATAGATTTGTAAAAGTTTCCCATTTACTTTCGTCATGGAACCAAGACAAAGTTTCCCATTTACTTTCGTCATGGAACCAAGACAAAGTTTCCCATTTACTTTCGTCATGGAACCAAGACAAAGTTTCCCATTTACTTCCATCAAAGTGCCAAGACAAAGTTTCCTATATACTTACATCACAGAACCAAGACAATGCTCAGCTGGAAACAAAGTTACAAGGACTGTAGAATTCTGAAAAACAAATATAAAATAAACTGAGAAAAGAAATTTAATTCATTTTTTTTTTATTTCTGGAAAATTCGTAAACTTAAGGAATCAGCACATATGCTAGGCCACAAAAATCTCCTGAGCCGACCAAGCATAGAAATAAATACAATACGGGAACCAGTAATAAGGAGTGCCAGAGAAAAGCAATGATAACAAAGTTGCAATATGAACTCTGGTAAAAATGATGCTGAAAACATTAGGTTTATAATACTCAGAAGTTCATACCCAGATGTCCTCAAAGACACATGGCACAGTGACAGACACAAAGAAGGTGAGTTCAATACCTGGTTAAGGCAGTGGAGAACTTTCAGAGGGAAAATTAGCAGGAGATAACTGATAACTGACATCCATCAAACATGGCACGTGGAACTAGAACAGTCTACCCCAGTGATCGAAATAAAGGGTTCAGTTCGAAATTCCAACCACCTGAAGACGGCCGGAGCGTACAGCGGCCGAAACGTTGTGACAAATATGGTGACAAAGATGAGGACAATAGTCCGACTAATGTAAATACTGTATTTAATTTTAAACTGACTTCCCAGTGTTATCAGTTCTCAAATTGGTATTTGTTGGTATTTATGACACAACTATTTACGCTTGTCATAACGGTAAGTTTGATCAGTTCAATAAGGTCAAATTGGTAGCTGAATCAGATTACCTACAATCTGCTCTCTTTTAATCATCTTAGTGAACTATTTTTACTTTCATGGCTGATGCTAACCTCCAGGAGAGTGACTCATTGCAACTTCTCAGGCTAATGTTTTCAACTAATGTGAAGTAGAAAGATTATATTGAACCAATTGCTAGGTCTGTTGCTAGGAAAATTGGTTCCTTGTGTTGTGCTAGACAATCTTTCTCACCAGAATCTCTCTCTCTCTCTCTCTATATATATATATATATATATATATATATATATATATATATTTATTATAGTAAAAAAAGAAAGAACAATAAGATATATAATCCAGTGTTCTTATTGATATTTTTATTTTTACAAAACTGTGCTGTGCTTATCAATCTTGACCTGGAATTTTGGCTTCAATCACTTTCCTACAGCTGTAAGTAACTTCCCTGTGCCTTTTCTATAAATATTTTCATGTTGTTTTGATGACCTTTCCTCTTTAGTTCCTTGACCTTATGAATTTAAGTGCAGTATTTGTTTGGCATCTTGGTCTTGTCATTTTATGGTTGAAATGGCTAGCTGTAACCGTAAGTTTCATTTTACACTTCTTGCTTGTGGAACTTTTTTCCGGTTTCTTGCTTTCCAGTCATCTTTGATCTTCAAAAATTTAAATGTAATATCAATCATTATCTTCAGTCTTTTTGTTCTTGTTCTTTTATTTTTCTCTCTCCTTAATAATGTTTTTAATCTTCTTATATACTTTCACACTCAGTAACCCTTTGCATCTTAGTGGCTGTATTGCCTTGTTTGGGGTGAAATGATTAAGAAAAAGTAAGACTTACAGTATGAAGATGAGGATATGTACACTTTTATTTTTAAGAAATGTTTTATCCCCATTTATTTATATTATTCACATAATTTTGTGAAGAACTATGGAAAGAGAGTTGAGAAGCAATAGGCTGGTGATCCAAGGGGTGAGGCTTAAGTAGCAGAGGCAGAGTGGTGACATTCTAAGAGGCCTTATGTGCCAGGCAGCAGCAGGCTGATAGATTTGTATGTTCAATACAATCCATGAAGGCCATAGAGACACTGCCTGTTTTAGCCATAGCAGCAGTGGGTGTATGTAAGGAAAGATACCCTAATGGACCTCATCACTCTTCAGACTGGTTTTCAATTTTGAGCTGTCATCCTCTTAAACTGACTACCCTACCAAGGTTAAAGAACTGTTTCCCCTGCTATTTAACCCATAATTAGAGGAAGATTGGGCCATGCCTTTTCTAAGGGCATTAGTGCTAAGTGAAAAAAACAATCTTTGAACTTGGCATGCCAATTACACTATCTCAATATCTTCAATGCCATCCAAATATCTAAAATCTGCATCATTTTGAGATGAGGTGAAAAGTAAAATCTGTGGAAAATATGTTACCTATTCAAATCTTTTCTATAACAACTAAATAGAGATGGGTGAATTTCCAATCTCTACATGCTGAATTCTTCAGATAATGTCAAAACAGAATTCTTTTTTTATTTTGTTTTATTGCCACAATATATTCATAACAGAAATGTTAAAGAAACTTTTAAACAGTGATTAGCTCTGGAATTAAATAAACTTTTAGAATAAGATATATTTAAATATATGTATATATGAAAAATAACTTTTACATTTTTATTTTCAGAGCAGAGAAACTATATTTGTCTTGATTAATTTTGCTTTTAATTTGTTTAAATATTCAGGAAGCATTAAACATGGACAAGAAAATACAGAAAACCAAACATTTCAATATTTTTTATAACATAATTTGAAATTAAATATTACTGTAATTTCTAGCAGCATGTTTAGTCTTTATATAAAGTGAATCCAAAGTCATATATCATAAAAATAATTGCAAAAATTAAACTGATGTTTTTGAATCATTTACAAATATAATTATATGAGCATTTTAAAGTAAATTTAATGTACAGTATTTACATTAGTCGGACTATTGTCCTCATCTTTGTCGCCATATTTGTCACAACGTTTCGGCCGTTGTACGCTCCGGCCTTCTTCAGGTGGTTGGAATTTCGAACTGAACCCTTTATTTCGATCGCTGGGGTAGACTGTTCTAATTCCACGTGCCATGTTTGATGGATGTCAGTTATCAGTTATCTCCTGCTAATTTTCCCTCTGAAAGTTCTCCACTGCCTTAACCAGGAATTGAACTCACCTTCTTTGGGTCTGTCACTGGATCTAACCAACGCCTTTATGACACAGTGGCACATATTTTATCACCAATTTCAAAAACGTATTTATCTCATTATTGTGTTCATTTTGTTTTAAAGCTAACTTGTGGATTTTCCCTTTATTTTAGTCAGTTCCCAACAAGAGATAATGTTCATAATTTTAAAGTATGAAAGCCTAAAAAGAAAAAAAAACAATGATTAAGTTGCATATCTGTCTATATTTCCGAGAAGAGATATTGTAACTATTTACACTATTTACATTGTTCAGACTGTTGCCCTTATTTTTGATGTCACATCCACAACATTTCAGCCATTGTACACTCCAACCTTCTTCAAGTGATATACGTTGGAATTTCAAACCAAACACTTTTAGTCCACTGGGGTACATTGTTCTAGTTCCACATGCCATGCCTCTTGTGGATATCTCTTGAAAGGGAAATAGCTGAAACTGAGATATCCAAAACATGGAACGAGAACAATTTACCCCAAGGAACAAAATAAAGAATTCAGTTTGAAATTCCTGAAGAAGGCTGGAGTGTACAACAGCCAAAACATTGTGAATATGACAACAAAGATGAGGACAACAGTGCTATTAAGTTGCATTTACTGCACATAAAAATATTAGTCACTTATTCTTAGAAAAGAGAAATAAAAATAAAACAAAAGATAACTTTTTATATAATTACTAAATTGGTTAAGAAGACCAATTCAAAAATTAATATAAACCAATATTATTGATTATTGTTTTCTTTGAAACAAGATTTGACTTTAACAATGAATCAAGGTTAACTGAGATTAACAAATGAAGGAACACTTGATATAATGGTTATCGATGTGGAAAATGGAAATTATAAGCAGAGTTCAAATTCTTGCCAACGTTGTTTGCATTAACTTGCAATACATTGAAATTGTAAGGCAGACTATGCCCTTTAGCTTTGATAGGGAAATCATTCTTGAAGGCTGTCATGTAGTAGACACATCTATTACTGCTGTTGTAACTGCTATACACGTGGGGCTACAACAACTTCTATGGATTATGGTGAGTGTAAACTAAAAGAATACAGTTACTTATCAAGGTTAGCTTAGTCTGGCACAAGGCTATATTATAGTAGGGACTGTACTTGCTAAATGAGTGAATTGTCTTATAAAATAAGTTTGGTAACCTTTACATTAATGTAGGTGCTCTTTTCAAAATCAAATATGGAAAAGTGAAAGTGACATTAACATAGAAACAGAATTACAAATAAATATTATGGTATAGAGAGGCTGATTATTTACAAATTTTAGCTTTGTCTGGCATAAGGCTACAGTAGTGGAGTATTTAGCAAAATTCAAACTCACTAACAAGTAGTTAGCAATAGAGTGATGCATGCATAGTGGTTATCAGCATGCAAAGAAGAAGTGGCGTTCCAAATTCAAATTTGTCAAGTTTGTTGCATTTACTTTCACACAAAAAGCTTTGAGAAAAGTATGAATCCATCTCTTCTCTGCTCCAGTTATGGGTTAAATAGAAGAGCAGACTGGACTCTCCAGTCTTGATTGGTAAGCAGTTTAGGAGAAAAAGCAAATCTGAATTCAAAATGTTTAAATCTGAATTTTAAAAATTAATAAACCTTCAGGAAAGTGACTTGTTGCACCTTCTCAAGCTAATGTTCTCAACTGTTATGAAGTGGAAAGACTATATTGAATCCATTGCTAGGTCAGCTGCTAGGAAAGTTGGCTTAATGTGTTGTGTGAGAATAATTTTTTTTCTCCAGAGTCTATTATACATATCTATAAGACTATTATTCACCCATGCTTAGAATATTGTTGCCACATATAGGCTCCAGTGCCTCTGCTATTTACCCTGAGCACTATTATTGGTCCTGATTTGGCGGCTCAGCTTCTGTCCTTTTTCCACCACCATAAGGTTGCCTCTCTGTGTCTTTTCTATAAATACTTTCATGGTAATTGTCTTCACTATGGTACCTAGACTTTATTGAACAGAAGTGCAATACTAGACTGGCATCGTGATCTCATCAATTTACAATTGAGCTAGCTAGATGTAGCCATAAATTTATGCTAAGAGTTTCTTTTCTCGCACTTCTCACTTGTGGAATTCCTTTCCAGCTCCATACTTTCCAGCCAACTTTAATCTGCAAAAATTTAAATGCAATGTCAATCGCAATCTACTATCCTCCTGATTATTCTTTCCTCTTCCAGCTCATTATTAATGTTTGTGTTCTGATGTTCTTCCACATCCTGTAGCCTCTTGTGTGGCTTTACTATCTTGCATGGGATGATACCGATTTAAAAAAAAAAAAAAAAAAACAGTTGAGCATGAGGCTGGCTACTCTACCCCATAAATAACCAAGTTACTATGGAAATCATAACAGCAACACCTAGCATGGTGAGTCTGTGACACTATACTCCACAAGTCTAATGTTAGTAAGGAGAGCAAAATGCTCAAATTCACGACACTCAGAAATTCAGGAGACAAGTTTGCTAATCATCCTGTGAGGTTAGACAGCCCAAGAAAGATACAAGATGTTACTGATTGTGAAAGAATATGAGAAAAAGAAAATATTATAGTCACAGGTGGACAATAAAAGGGAGTCGGATTCAAGGAGACAGAAGACAAAGATTGATATTGCATTTAAATTTTTAAAGATCGTACATGAATGCAAGAAGCTAAAAGAGATTTCCAGAAGAAATTGTTAAAACAGAACTTAGGTTACATCAAACAATTTCAACAATAAAATGATGCAACCTAGCTGCCAATATAGTCTTCTTCTTTATATGCCATGTACCTTTAGGACATAAATGATCATAGTTCTCCACAACTTCTCGTCCTTCATAGTACTTAATAAATTTTGTCTTTTTGTTATTTCTCCTAAATATTGTTCTGCCATCCATTTTCTCAAGCTCACTAAGTAGGTTATGTGTTGTTTTCCTTTGTCCCTCTTGCCTTCAATCTGCCCTGTGAGTATCAAATTTTACAAGCCCTCTTTCTTTATTGTGTCCTGGAAATTTTAACTGTCTCTTCCTGATGTTAAGGTACCTTTTTGTTTCCATTTTCTCCAAAACCTCATTATTGCTCACATGTTCAGTCCGCAACATCCTTCTGTAGAATCACATTTCTGTTGATTCAAGTCTCCTCTTCATCTTTTGAGGAGATTGTCCAGCCATTCACTGCCATATAGGAGGGGAGATATCAGGTAACAGTTCAGTATTCTTTTCTTTGTTTCTAACAAAATTTTCCTATTTCTTAATACTTTGCTTAGCTTTTGCAATGCCCCTTTAGTTATCCCAGTGCACTTTAGATTTCAGTGTCATACTTTCTGTCCACTGTTAAAATACTTACAGATATTTAAATTTTTGTACTGGTTTGATTTTGGTATCTCCAATTTGTATTTTGGGCTCATGCTTTTGCTAACCATGCATTCTGTCTTCCGGCAGTTGATGTTTAGTCTTCACTACCTCCTCTAGGAGTTTTTCTAGTTTTCTTTCCAGGTCTGAGTACTGCGCTTAAATTTGTAAAGTCGAGGTAACTTTTTTTTTTCTCTTACACTAAGGTTCCCTCTGTACAAGGCCCAAGGTCCACTTGAGGTAGAGAGTTACATTAAAGTGTAGTTTATATGGATAGGAAGGGAAGATAACAGTTAACTCTAGACTTGAACAGGTTAAGATTGTAGTGAACATGGAAACATCCTCTTGGGAGTCTGTTGCAGAAGGCAGTGGACAGGTGGGAATGTGGGTGGTTTGCTACTATGTAAGCGGCATGGCAGGTCCTAGCTGTGAAGGTGAAGAATCCAAAGTTTCAGGATTGCAGGACTGGATCCAGCCCAGAATGTTTTTAGTTTGCTCACAGAGTCAGCCTGATTCCAAAATGGTATGTTGGATTATAGTCTCTAGGAGTAAAGTTGAAAAAGTGTGATACAGTGACATTTATATTTATTATATACAAGGCACAGTGCCTCTTTGAGGGGACATTCATCCATCGTGACTGGTGGTAGTTTGGGGTCTAATCAGTGGTAACTAGTTTGGTTCTCGAGGCATTGAATGTAACCAGACAGTTTTTTTCCCCACCAAGGAAGTTAGTGTTAGATCAAAAGAGAGGTCAGCTGCCAATCTCTGATCGTCCAAAATATTAGAGGTACACCCATATAACATATCGACATACATGTTTACAAATGACCTGAGTATATTCTTAGGCAAATCATTTATGTAGATCAGAAAGAGGGTTGGTCTGAGAAGTAACCCCTAGGGGATACCAAAGAGGAAAACTCACCAGATCAATTAACATGAAAATATTTATAGAAAAGGCATAAGGAAGCTACATTAGAGCTGTGAGAAAGTGTTTGAAGCCAAGATGCCAGGTCAGGATCATTAACATTGCAGATTCTACATACATAGCAGAAGCACCAGATAAGGTATTTTTATTGATTTTGGGAGGATATCAAAGAAACCTTCATTTGCAGAAATGGTTTAATTCCTTCAAAATTCTTTGATCCCCTTGGTGCCAACAGAGATTACAAAACTAACCTGATCTTGATCACAAGCAGCTGGTATGTCTATGGTGGTTGGACAAAATACCTCCAAAGGTTTCTGAAGATTAAAAAAAAATTGATCAATTTGACATAAAAATATAGTTTCAATTATTGAATAAAGTTAACTCCCAATAAAATAAATATAGGTCAAGGGTCAACAAAGCCTTCTATGATCTTTCATCCAGCCTATACACCACATGGAATAGACTATTATTTTAAATAATAATTTTTATATTATTTTCCTTTAATATTATAAACTTATTAAAAATGACCTTTATTTGACCTTCTATCTGAGCTACAATTCCACCCACCTCCAGTGCTGTCAGCAGCTTTATTTTATCATCTTAACTGATATGTCTTGATGACAGTCTACACATAAAAAAGAGCTGACATTTTACTCATATTCATCTTATAAGCACAATAATTCATTTCTATATGAGGATATTTTTTTTATATTTTTAACCAATGGGATCCTAATTAAAATCATTTTTGACTAATGGGAACCAAATAACAACCTCCTTGTACTGGCATTTTGGCTTTAATCACTTTTCCTTGTACTGCATTATGTATGTGTTTCTTAAGTACATTGCCAGATTGTCTTGGTCACTTCTGCTTTAAGTGCTATAGAAGAAGCTATTAGTATAGAATCTATGGTTACATCTCTTGCCATTTCAACTGTAAAATGATGAGACCTAGCTGCCAATCTGATACTTCACTTAAATTCATAAAGTCAAGGTACCAAAGAGGAAAGCTCACCAGAACAATTAACATGAAAATATTTATAGAAAAGGCACAGGTAAGCTACATTAGAGCTGTGGAAAAGTGATTAAAGCCAAAATGCCAGGTCAGGATTGATAACATTGCAGATTCTTCTTTGGATTTTAGATACATAGAAGCACCAAACCAGATGTGGCAGTAATATTCAATGCATAAATGTAAGATAGATTCTGGCATAACACAAAGAACCAATTTTCTTAGCAACAGACCTAGCAATCGGTTCAATATAATCTTTCTACTTCACATTAGTTGAAAACATTAGCCTGAGAATTGATAACATCAGGAAGTCAATTTAAAATTAAATGTACAAAAAAATTAAAAAAAAAAAAAAAATGAATTAAATTTTTTCTCTCAGTTTATTTTGTTTATTTTTCAGATTTCTACAGTGCTTGTGACTTCATGTTTCTGGCTGAGCATCTTTCCCCCATCAGTAACAAATTTAAAATAATTATGAAATAACTCAACAGAAAAAATTTTAAATTGATTTCTTTATGAAAAGCTTAAACAAAAAAAGAGAGAGAGAGAGAGAGAGAAAAAAAAAACTTACAACGTAGGGAGTCAAACGTCCATATTTCTCTTCATTTCCCAAGAGTAAAATTCTTGTAATTGTAGAACAATAAAGATAGGAATTACCACTGAAAAATAATAACAGAAAAAAATAAGTTGGAGACAGAAAAATAATCTGTGATTCAATTATTAATTTTGGTCAGAATTTTTTAGATGTTAACCTCCAGGAGGTTGGCTTGTTACTCCTTCTCGGGCTAATGTTCTCCACTGACATAAAGCAGAAGGATTAAATTGAATCAATAGCTAGGTCTTCTGCAAGAAATTTATTCACTGTTTTGTGCTAGACAATTTTTCTTGCAAGAATCTATCTTACATATAAGTCTATTATTCATCCATGCTTTGAATATTGCTGGCTCACTTATTGTCTGGTTCACACCCACCATCCAGTTTTCTGGACAGGAGTAGAGGTTTATCCTTTCTTTCTTGTTTAGAATTGGGTTTCCAGTTCCTTCTAAAGTTTTTTTTATTCTCTTTTACTCCCAGTACCAACTTGCATCTTAGTGGTATTATCATTGTGCTGGTGTGAATTGATTTAAAAAAAAAATTCTTGTCTAGGGCTTCTGCTATGGATTTAGATATTCTTGATAAAATCCAAAGAAGAATCTGCACCATTATTGGTTCAACCTGGCATCTCAGCTTCATTCAATTTCCTACCACCATAACATAGCTTCTGATGAGCTTTCCACTGAACTTTCAGTATTACCAGTCACAAAACGAAGAATAATTTTTCATGAAGAATTCAGACTAATATCTTCATCCATGCCACCTCAATTACATTTTGGTTACTGCATTCTTTTCTTCAGTAGCACCTAAAGTTCTGCAATGAAATCAAATTTGGTTATTTCTTGTTTTGCCATCATGTTTTACGATATTGATAGGTACTAAAAGTGTGATACTCTTTTTCCATATAGATTATACAGCTGAAGATGGTCAAGTGAATTGGCTGAAACATTGTGGAAACAAAAAGAACAGTCAACAATCCAAACAAGTCTTGGAATAATCAAATTAGATTCCAAAAAAGAAATTACCTTCGTTCAAGTCTTTCAAAAAATGCATCTTGGTCCAGGCCAACGGTATGATCTGGAATAAGAAGATTTTTTTATTTTACATATGCCAGAACAATTTTTCTTTCATATGAATGAATAGATTCATTCACTTGGAACAAAAATAATCTATTCCAATGGACTGAATAAAGTGTTCCAAGTAAAATTTGGAATTATAAAAATTTAAATTAATTATAGGTGTTAATTATAGTTTTCTATCCATACACTATTAATCTCCACCATCTCAAAAATAAAACAGTAGGTGTCAATACATTAACACTAAAATTTAAAACTTAATTTTTCTCAAAAAGGTAAAATTTCCCAAAAGAAATGAATGCCATGTTCAGACTAAGCAAAAGAAATTCTAATAAAAATGCCTTTTCATCTAAAAGTCTGTTATTTCAGTTAGCCCCACAAAAATATACAATGTGGGACACACACACACAAATATTTGTACACATACAAATTTTTAATTTATTGTATTTCCAACTAATGAATAAACATACTTTTCATATAATTAACACAGATGCATAATAACTAAATATGCATAGTAAACAGAAAAAAATTAATTTAATAGAAATAAATCCCATTTATCCATCTTAATGGGTGAAAAAAGTATTCATACAATGCAAATTTCAGACTTTAAAACTTTTAAATTACTTTAATACTCTAGAATATTCCAATAATGTTATCAGTAGTTATTTTTAGCCCAAAAAATACAAACAGAACATTCTTTAATTGATATTTATGCAAGAAGATTTTCATCATGGCAAGAGGTAAAGAACTGACAAATTTGCAAAAGGAACTGATTATTAAGCTCTGGAAAAAAGGTAAAAGTTACAGGACAGACAACCAAACATTCTATTTACTAACATTAGTTCATTCATTGCAAGGTATAAAAAAATCAAAACTGTTGAAAACCAAAAAAGAACTGGTACTCAACGGAAGATTTCTGCAAGATCTTCAAGGAAATTAATGCATCAAATTAAACAAAATCCAATGGTTACTCATCAAGTGTTGCAGGATGATTTGCTTTTATCAGGAATCTGTGTCACTAAACAGACAACAAGCAATGAAATTCACAGGAACAATCTAAAGTCATGCTCCACTCAGAAAACTCCACTGCTATTGAAAAGACACAGAGATGTCAGGTTGAAATTCGTTTGTGAACATAAAGATAAGAAAAAATTGTATTGAGAAAGAGTATTATTTACAGACAAAACTGAGTTGTTTGGATGTAATTCTAGAAATTATGTATGGAGGAAAGATGGTCATGCCTTCAAACAAAAGAACACAGTTCCACCAGTAGAACTTGGTGGTGGAAGCATCATGGTTCAGGGATGTTTTTCTGCAAAAGGTACTGACAACATATCAGTAATAGATGGTAGAATGAATGCCGCATATTTCGGAAGCAAATTTAATGATTTTGATTGAAAATCTTGAACTTCCTCCTGATTGTGCTCCAAGTTAACAGAAGAGTAATTTATGAATTATTTTTATTTTAAAAAAATCTAGAGACACCAAGCACATGGCTTCCATGTCTAAGTCAAGTCTTTGTCATTTGATATTTTAAACTAGATGATAAATATTTACACTATTTACATCATTCAGACTGTTGTCCTCATTTTTATTGCCATATTCATGTTTCGGCCATTGTACGCTCCAACCTTCTTCAGGTAATATACATTGCAATTTTGAACCAAACCCTTTATTTAGTTCTAATTCCATCCTCCATGGTTTTTTTGGATATCTCAGTATCAGTTATTTCCCTTTAGTAACTGAACTCTCCAAGTTTTCATTCCCTCTGCTGTGACCAGGTATTGAACTCACAACTCTTTGGGTCAAGTCACTTTTTGGATTACTCAACCAACACTTTTATTCAGTGGGCCATGTGTCTTTGGGGGCATCAGTGAGTCCCCAATGTATATCACCTGAAGAAGGTTGGTGTGTACAACGGCTGAAACATTGTGAATATGGCAATAAAGATGAGGACAACAGTCCAAACGATGTAAATAGTGTAACTAGTTACAATACCTCATCTCAAAATCATAGACAGATATTGGATGATAAATTCCTTAATGTTTAAGGAGTGGATAATCGTTTTCCTTTTGCCTTTCTCAAGGAATTTAAATCAGTCATTATCGGCCTCTCTGAAAGAAAGAGCAGATTCTTTATAAATCACTTTAAATGAAAGCTGTATCACTTAGATATACAATGTAATGTCTTAAAAATAAACACTTATTTCAGGAGACTTCTTCATTATTTTCCTATTTTCAAATTTCATGACTAATTTTTTATTATTAAAATCTAAAGTGCGCTCCAGAGTTTTAGTTATTCTACAAGTGTGCACTGAAGTAAAAAGGTAGCAAAACAGAGCATTATGTTGATAAACATTACTTCATTCCTGTAGACTGCAATCTTGCTCACTTTTCAATCCGACAACCATTATTTTGACAAAACTCTGCAAATGTTATTTGCCAACTGTTTATGAACAACGTTCATCAAGTGACATCCTGGATGTGCATTAGTGTAACGGATAGTAATTCAGAATGAGAAATTGGAAAGCCAGGTTTGAATTCCAGTCAAGTTTGTTATATTCACATATGTGCAAATAACCTTGGGAAAGATAAATCCATCTCTCTTTCCATGGGTTGCATAGTAGAGGAGACAGGCACTTCTTCTTTGTTTGTCAACCAGTCTAGGAGAAGGACAAAAACCAGTATGTAGCCCTGGTGAAGCACATACTACTATGCAGTTAATGAAAGCATCATGGAGTTCAAAATGATTCTATAATCCTGACTGCAATCAGGCCTTGGTAAACAGTCATCTACCCTGATTTAATAACGCCCAAAATTCTTTAGGCATATTTTGTCTAGAAAATGACATTGCAAGAAAGATGACAAATAACAAAGCAATACGTGAATATGTTACCATAAAAACATTTGAAATTGAATATTTTTTAAATGTACTTCATATAGAATGTATTTTCATAGATGTATAAGTCTACCATTCACCCGTGCATCAGATATTTCTTCCACATTTGGTCTGGTGCTTCTGCTATGTATCTAGAGATCCTTGATAGAACCCAAAGAAGAATCTGCAATGTTATCAGTCCTAATCTGGCATCTCAGCTTCAGTCAATTTCACACCACTGTAACATAGCTTCCCTGCACCTTTTCTATAAATAATTTCATGGTAATTGTTTGAATTTTTCTTTGAACTTTATGAATTTAAGCACAGTACTTGATTGGTAGCTAGGTCTCATCATACGGGCAATTAAAAACAGATATACAGGTATTTTATAAACACTCAAACATATTTTTGAAGACTCAGAAGAGAAACCTGAATGTAAACCAGATGAAATGAATTTAAAACACAAATTAGTAAATATAGAATATTCTATTTTGATACCCACCCGTATAGGTGATGTAATAGTGGCTCAGAATGAGAAATCGGAATAACCAGCTATGGGTTAAATAATGAAGCGGACTGGACGCTTCCTCCTTGGTTGGCAACCATTCTAGGAGAAGGACAACTCTCAATTCAGAATATTTTTATGGATGAGTTGCAGGTGTTGAACTTCATTGTACATACATACTACCAGAGAATTGTATAATGGAAAGCTGTCCTGGGAGCATGAAAAGAATTGCCACCAAAAACAAATGTTACATCTAAATGGCACAGACACTTGTATCCAAAGATGCCCATCTACTAGGGTGGCTAGCTAATCTCCATTGAAGATGCTTGCTCAAGCACATTTTGTGTTTGTTCAACAACCACATAGCCTGCCTGTGGTTTACACTGCAACTATACTGAGCAAACTTTGGTTACAGTTTCTGGTAGAGTGCGCGTTATCTAGCATGATTAACAGTCTGAACAAGGCCAGCATGCTCAAACCTCGGTCACGATGACTTGTGACCATGTGCTAGCACAACTACCAATGGCTCCCACTTTCACTCAACCCGTGACATGGTTTTCAGGCACTTTCCAAAGTGCTGCATACTGGAATCGCCTCCTCCAGACTGATAAAATCAAGAAATCACCTTCCTGACAAATCAGCCATGGTAAGATTCAAACCTGGGTCTCATGGTCAGAAAGCAAACGTTCTAACCACTCGACCATGTGCCCATAATGCTCCATAATGGGTTTTTAATTGATTTATTTTTTTACAGCTTATCAACCTTTTGCAGATTATCTAAAGCCAGAAAACATTTTTAGATTGTAAGAATTTTGGGGTGGGGGATAATTATTATTTACTGATACAAATTCTACTAATTAACCCATAACTGGGAGGGGAGGAGAAATGGATTCATACCTATCCCAAGAGTATTTCACATTCAATATAACAAACTCAACTGGAATTGGAACTTAGCTCTGAGATTTCCAATTCTGACCTGTTATCCATTGCAGCAGCATATCCAAAATTACAACACATGGTATTCCCAAGTGGTCACCCATCTAGACACTGACTAGGCTCAATGTTGCTTAATTTTAGTGATTGTACAAGAGCTGATGTTTCAATGTGATATGGCCATAAGTCCTTTATACCACCCACACATCCAAGCTTACAACATCTGGTATTCCCAAGCAGTCACCCATCTACATACTGACCAGATTTGATGTTGCTTAATTTCAGTGATCATATGAGAACCTGTCTTGCAACATGATATGACCATAAGCTTTCTATAATGGGAGCTGTGTACTAGTACAACATAACAGAAAAGGATGACATTTGAACTTCATGCAAACAATATATATATACACTAAGTCTGGATAAAGGGTGTTGATGAAAGATTGAAGATCCTGTCTGGTTAAAAGCCCAGCATAGACAATATATGTCGAAATTCAGAATGGGAGGGTGACTGGGATTAAGAACTTGCACTATTTTGGGGATAGGTGCAATGAGTAAATACAATCACACATCACTGGAAAATGAAAGGGTGATTAAACTCCTTTTTTTTTTTTTAAAGCGGCATTCACCCTGGGCGGATTGAGCCGGCTTCTTCCTGTTGTGAGAAGAAGATTCTTGGGATAAATTACAGAAGTAGGGTACCCAGGCCTACTCGGATAACGTTCTTGCTTGCCGCAGGGTTCCCACAGACGCAGAGACAGGAACGACCAGAAGCCGCCGGTTACCGATGCAGACGCTCCTTGGATTTTCACCAGAGCCCTTGTTAGCCGGCGTGTGTGTCAGACCTGTCCGCCTTGGGTGGCCCTACCAGGAACAAAGTTCCGGGCGGCATAGCTCTGACACTACCGTTTACACCCCCCCCACCGACTGTGAGGTAAGGGTTGGACTTTGGGGGCTTACAGTACCAGGTGTTCCCAAGCGGTCCCCCATCTAAGTACTGACCTGGCTCTATGATGCTTAACTTCGGTGATCGAACAAGAACCGGTGTTTTCAGCGTGATTTGACTGTAAACAAACTCCTTACAAGCAGATGATTCAGAACCTAACTCAAGACGAATTGAAGATTATCTAGAGAAGATGTAGAGGCCATTCCCTTGCAAAGGCAGAAGATACCAGTTTCTGTGTTCATGAAACCTAGTGGAAATGGTAGACATCAAATGTAGCAGAATAACTGAAAACATCATAAATGGAAAAACTTACTACAATTTAGTGACCAGCAGTATTTTAAAAAGAATTTTGAATTATTTCCGTATATAAACATGCCAATTTTTGTAAATATAGACACCCATGCACAATATTATCATAAAGTAAGAGTGGTAACTATAGTAATTTTAAAATTTACTGGTAATTTTCGAATATTTCCACAACAAACATCTTCATAAGTAAACTAAAATTCAATAAAATATTAGATTACTTTTCATAAGTTTTAAAGATTACTGGGTAGTTAAAACATTATATAAAAAGGTGTTCATGTTATATTCAAGTAATTGTTTAACTGTTTCCCCTTTGAAAAAATTTCAAAACAAGTCTAGTGTCAACACCTCATAAAAGCACCTATCTTCATGTTAAAAATGCTTTCTCAGTTCTGCAATAAAAGTAATACTGGTTTCAAATCAGAAACTTTAAATAAGCTAATCTTCCTCAAATAATTGTAAACATTGACAAATAAAAGAATACCAAAGTAATTTTTTTTTTAAGAAGAAAGTTAACTTTCAAATTAGGTTTAGGTGTGTTTTTTTTTTTATTATTGGTTATTCTTTTATTTTTTTTATTAAGAAGAAAGTTAACTTTCAAAGGTTAGGTGGGATTTTTTTTGTTATTCGTTTATATTTTTTTTTAAGAAGAAAGTTAACTTTCAAATTAGGGTTAGATTTTTTTTTTTCTTTTGTTATTTTTTTATTTGTCGATGTTTACATATATTTCAAAGTTAACTTTCTTCTTAAATTAAGTACAAAAAAAATCGCTTTACGGAAGCGCGTACTAATTTCTGAAAGAAAATAGTTCAGCAGTGAATGACGCTCGGGTGTTAAAATGAAAATTTACCCCGAAAAAAGTATTCAAATTATAGTTTAAGATTTAGAAAAAAAATGAAAAAGGTGTTAGCTTTAAATTCCCATAATTTTTTTTTCTTACAAAATTCCCTTTATAGCCAAAATTCGAGGCGGCGGTAGAGTGACATTATTCTGAACTTTGATAGCCGTCTTCTTCCTTATATTGACCAAATGCACATGATTAATTCCACACTTACTTTTTTCACTATCATTGACCAGTTGACAACTTAAAGAAAGAACATTTAAATTTAAAATAATAGTCGGCGATGAAACGAGTGTAATAGTAAAATAAAAATAATACCTGCATTTTTACCCAGAAAAGAAAACTAACAAATATTTTTAAATAAATCTCTTCTCTTGGAACGAATAATTGAAAATAAAACAATTATCAAAAACCGCTGCAGTTTTATTTTTTTTAATGTACACATTTTTGTCTGGTCAATTTTTGTCCAACAAAAATAAACACAGATTATTTTTAACCCCAATCAAGTTTTAGTTTGTTTTGTTTTTGGCGCCTAAAATGTTGATGTAGTAAAATTTAAAAATTAAATGACATTTGTTGAGTTCGTTCATAGTTTTACTTTTCTCTTTTTCATCTTACCTGAATGCATGTGCGACAGAAAATAAACTGTTGAGTTAAGATTTTCTCCATCAAAGCGATCGAGGGATACAAGACGGTATTCCTTCATACGACCCTCGAAAGTACTCATGATTTGAATTGTTTCGTTTTCTTAAATAATAATTACAATAATATCACCATATCGTCTTTGTGATATTTTGAATTTCATGACGCCTGAAAAACAAATAGAGTTGTCGTTCTTGGTTTCGATGCTTATAGCAAAACTTGAATTGGAGAACAAAAACGAAATAGATTTAACAAACTTATCTTCTGATAGGTTTATTAAAATGTTATAAAATAAATGAAGAAACTCGTTTGAAATAATAATGAAACTCCATTAAAATAAAAACTTTAAAATCATAATAAAAGGCCTCAGATGAAACACAAGCTCGCAATCTCCAAAAACTCTAGGAGCTCATCGTTCACGGACAATGCTTTCGTTCAGAGTTTTTCAACCAGTGCTTCCTGAAAGGTAGCCAAGTGCGCCCCAAGTTAACAGAAGAGTAATCTATTAATTATTTTATTTTTAAAAAACTAGAAACACCAATTATTCGGACTATTGTCCTCATCTTTGTCGCCATATTTATTACAACGTTTCAGCCAATGTACGCTCCGGCCTTCTTCAGGTAGTTGGAATGTCGGACTGAACACTTTATTTCGCTCACTGGGGTAGACTGTTCTAGTTCCACGTGCCATGTTAATGGATGTCAGTTATCAGTTACCTCCTGTTAATTCCCCTCCATGTCTAGGTGAAGTCTTTGTCATTTGATATTTTAAGCTGGATGCTAAATTCCTGTTGAGTTTGTGGAATCTTCCACATTTGCCAGTTACACCCCATTGGAAAAATTTACTCTTCCTCTATGGTAATTACCACCACATTAAATAAACACAGTACATAGACAAGCATTCATTGGTTAATCACCTTCAATCTAGCTTGCTGATTGGTCAGTTTCGACCAATCAAATCACCCCCACGCGACAGATCTATTTTGGCGCCAACTCAGGTGCCTGTCACGTGGTACAACAAAATTATAAAAACAAAACACGTGTAAACTCTCTCTCTCTCTCTCTCTCTCTCTCTCTCGCGCGCGCGTCTCATTCCTTGCTGCCAAGATGTAATCTTCAGGAACTCCCGTCTTAACCTTTGCGATCAGACGTTAAAGACCATTACCAACATTCACGCAAGTACGAACTCAAAAATTTCTTCTGAACTCTTACCAACTTTACCAATCCACAATTACAAACATGCTAAAGGAACTTTATTCTTCTAAACTACAGTTTAATAATCAATTTATTCTTTATGAGCTCAGGTACAAATATTTCCAAGTCCAAGAGACATAACTCTGCCAAAACATTTCAGTTCACATGCATGTATATCAAATACTTAATAAATTCAATTGTTACGTTTTGAAACAACACGTTATGATTTGTTTCTTATATTTTTCTTTAATCGTTGTGGACGAATGATTTTAGAACACCAACACTAAAAATTCTTCTGATCACTCAAAATACATTCGCCAGTCCGAAACAAGTTCAGGGGGTGTCAGGAATAGCGATAAAACAAGAGATGAGGTAAAGCAATCCTTTATTCAGACTCCACCATTAACAGGAATCGATGGTCTCGACTCAGCTCAATTCCATTATGTATTATTATCCACTTATTCCTTAATCTTTAAAGAGTGAATAATCCTTTCCTTCTGGCTTTCCTAAAGGGGTTTGAATCAGTTGTAGTGAGTCCCAATAAAAATAAAATATATAAACAAAAATAAAAAGAATTCAAATTAAATTTTTATTTAATTTTAATTTTGAATTATTAAAATAAGGCTTTTGCGTTTATTAATTTAATTTTAATTATTAAAATAATGCATTTGCACTTTCCTTTAAAACCCTTATCTCTTTCTTTCTCTCTCTTTCTCTTTCTCTCTCTAAGGTTTTCTCTTTATACTTCTCTCTCAACTAATGAGAGGGCAGCCCTCAAATAAAAAGAGGAAGAAGAATAAAAAGAATTAAAATTAAAATAATGCATTTGCGCTTTCCTTTAAAAACCTTATCTCTTTCTTTCTCTCTGAGTTTCTCTTTCTATACTTTCTCTCAAATAACGAGACGGCAACCCTGAAATAAAAACAGGAAGAAGAAAAGACTGAACCCAGCGCAAAACACCTAAAGTTTGCACGAGCAGAGCCAACTTATTTGTGACTGAAAGATAACTAAAAGACAGCAAGGGTCCACGCATAACTTCCAATATAAAAAAAATAAAATGAAAGGAATGCCTGAAAATAAAATTATTTGACTAATCAAAAAAATTGACACATTGAGACTTTTTGATGTTAGCGAAACAATGTCGCGCCAAATTCTCGAGCCTGGTAAAAAAGTTATTGTATTGACTACTACGTTTGCCACCCCTACAGTTTTCTCATCTGTGATTGGTTAAATAATAAAAACTGTTTACCACAGGACAATTTACTAGTCGCAGTCACCACACTGAATTTTTCTGCCGTGAATTTCGCAAACATGTTTTTGTTAGAAAATCACTGATTGGTTAATTTTTTTTCCAATCATATATTTTCTGTGTTCGTTCAACTTTCCCGCGTTGTTTCATGGAGCTTACCAATAGTTATATAAACAGTGTTTTGTTCCAAAAGATACACAGATTATTGATTCTACTCACTACGCACACACAGACACAGAACTTGAATTACATTTCACAATTCCTTTTCTGTGAACAAGCCAAGTTACAAACCAACACTCTGTTAGTTATACAAATAACATGCAACTAAATTAACTGTATGCTTTTCTGAATGCAACATTCTATTTCAACATAGAACTTTGAACATTCTATTCAAGAAACATTCTTAATTACATTTATCTTATTCAAGCTAACAGATAAAGGGAAACTACTTTTCCTTCATATTCACACATTACAAAATTGTTTTGTATTTGTTGATTTTAATATATATTTTATCGTTGAAACAAAAATTGTTTTCCCATTGTTTTTCCTTGATTCAGTAATGTATAAATGTTAAATGCTCTTCAACACGCAGCCACGTTAATCTCTTCAACATAGTACACAAGCAGCATTTACAATATAAACCTGTAGTGAATCCGAAATGAAAAATAATTCTCTCACTGTTTTCAAATTCTAGAGTCTGTGCGAAAATTTATTTTGACCAATAAAAAAAGGGATTAGCTCCGGTGTGAAGAAAAGAGCAAAGCAACGTTTAGCGAGCCTACGTGAAAATGTATTTTGACCAATGGAAAAGGGAGGGACTTACAAACTGAGAAAAAAGTAATGAGACGATGGGAAATCGCTTTTTGATATAAATAGGCAGAGAAAGTTGAATCAAGCCAGAGAGAAAAGGCAGAAAGAAGCAGAGTTCTACGTGTCTGAATAACGCCGGTGTCAAATTACATTTTCATACATTATCAGCCTCTAATGAGAGCAGGACAACTTCAAAGAACTCTATTACACTCCAAAGTTAAGTGCCTTAAAATATATCTTTTTATTCATATAGAATACAACCGTATAACTTTTATGTGAAAAACGAACTTTCTAAATTTGTTTTAAACATTTTGGAATGTTACTTTCTGTCCAATGATTCCATATGAACATTTGCTCTTCTTGACAATTCATCGAAACTACGAACTTTTAATATTTGATTCCTTTTCCTGAAACAAGCTACTGACAACTTCAAATGTGTAACTTGTAAATAAATTCCTTATCTTGTTTTGCTAAATATAACTGTTGTGACCAAGTAAATGGTTAAGTAAGAACAAAAGCCAGGTTTGCAGATATATCGTATATTAAACAGTAAGTACACCGGAAGAGTTTTACACAACTAGTGAGAGTGTATCAAATGAACTAGCGCTCAATCTATTCACTGTTATATTTAATGCACCCCACGTGGGTCGTATGTGGCACAAGGCCGAGTTTAGCGTGGGTTCCCCGAGCCTACGGACTCGGCCAAAAATATTCCCTTCGAACCCGCATAAACGGGTTCAGGGCCTGTCTAACTCCCCGGACGAGACTTTACCCTTCGGCAAAGCCTCGTTAACCTATCAACCTATATAGCAACATAAAAAAGTAAATAAACTATATATATATATATATATATATATATATGTCGGAGTTAGCTCCTCCTTAGTCCCTTAACCCTTCAACAGGGGTCTCTCTCCCCTGACTATAAATACTGGGTGACCCTTCGCTTCTTCCTCTTTTTCGTCAGGCCTTCAGCAGATGTGATCGCTCACAGATACAGCGTTTCCCAAATGCTGGGAACACACTAAGAACAATACACGTACGTACGAACACTCACCACAACACACACACATAATATTCACCACACACACTCTGTCCATGTAACTGTCCATGTAACTTGTAAACTTTCTTGTTATTAATACATATATTTGTTTACATATATTTATCGGTCTTGTGTTTGTTTTTCTTTGCCTTCTTTGGACTTAATTAAAGTCCAACTTTCTCATGTATTTGGACCGGCTATCAGGAAATTTTAACATACACATCGCCGCCACGGGTATATATATATATATATATATATATATATATATATATATATATATATATATATATATACCCAAGTATATAATTGGCTATTTTTGTAGTGATTTTATAACATGTTTATGTTATAAATTTTTAAATAAATAATTCTATATATATATATATATATATATATATATATATATATGAAGAAAAAATATACTGAAAAAAAAACAAAAGACCTAATATGCGATTATGCTGTTTTAATGTTTAATGTCAACGTCGGACGTTTCGGTCTAATAGACCATCTTCAGGACATATTCATAAAACATAATTAACATAGACCATATACAATTCAACATGAAAAAGACGATGGACATAAAAGCAATACCAATCCAAACAGATAACTGAAATCTTTTATAAGATCAGCGTTCCGTTTAAATATGATCACGTCGTCGTCACGATTAATGCTCGACAAACGTACATATAAGTTTTAGATCAAAATAAAATTCTTTTCGTTTTTCATTCAAAATACTCAAATTTTAGGAATACGTTTTCACAACATCGCCCACGTGA